ATTGTACTATGATTAAGAGATGCATGATTTGTCATTGTACTATGATTAAGAGATGCATGATTTGTCATTGTACTATGATTAAGAGATGCATGATTTGTTATTGTACTATGATTAAGAGATGCATGATTTGTCATTGTACTACTAAAGTTTAGACTGCAGGCTTCCATCAGCAGCTTTCAATTTACACTTTGTGAATAAAAACCTACATGCACTCCAAACTACTTGAAACTTAGTGTCTGTCTTTGTTTTAGTGTAGAACATTAACTGTCAGTATGTATTTGTATTATTAGAGCGGATTTCGTATGAGTGGGACACCGTTACCGCACAGTTACCGAACCTGGCCTGCACAATTTTGGTGAACCAATGGGGCACTAGAATTTGCTTACAGTACGATTACGGTCACAGTACAGTACCATCCATTTCCCACTCTTATGAAATCCGCTCTATTAAAAATTTATTGTGATTGTGTTTATTTGTAAAAATTTCTTTCTACTTACTTGTGATAAGTCAAAAGGAAGATTAAGATAGCTGTGCATACTGATTAAGGAAATCAAGTAAGGAGTAGTACAAAGGCACCTTTTAATATTCCTCCACCATTCAACAACTCACCTTCAGGAATATTGTATGATCTCAGATAGTAGGTGTAAGGGTGACAACAAGACAGTACAAAGTGACTATGACATGCTACACTGATATATTACAATTTGCAGTTTATTGTGAGGCAATAGAGAGCTTAAGCATGAAGCTAAGTTCAGAGCAAATAGCAAATGGCAGAAAAAGATCATGAGGCCTGCTTTTGGGGGTTTTAGCGTTACAATTTCGACACAAGAGTGGGTTATTTTGGAGTTGTCACAATATCGTGAAAAGTCCTTCTTTCCAATGACTACCAAAAGCAATAGGTCAGGCACGAAATTCTTAGGTCATTGGTACAGCTCTGCCGTTAGCTGTTTGCCGTAAACGTGATGCTTAAACTCTCTATTATTAAGAGAAAGTACAAACTCATTTTGACAGAAAATTGGAACAAAACTGATTGTTTGTTTTGGTGGTTAGTATTATTGTTGTTTGAAAGGATACTGATCAACAAATGTCCAGTTTTGTTCAGGATCCAAGACTTCTAGTAGAGCTGCAGCAGGATCACCATGGAGACTTTTACTCTACAATTATTATATAAAAATTTGCAGTTTATGGTGTAATTTTATCTGTTATTACTATAGCACTAAAATGAAGAGTTGTGTTTAAATATGGTGTGCTCATTGTTCTAGTGTACGAGGTAGTGTTACTAGTAAGTGAAGTGTTCTGTAGTATAGTGCAGTGTT